CGAACCCGCCACCTTAGGTGTACGTGGCTGGAGCCTTAGCTGGTTGAGCTATAGGAGCCGAGCCGAGACTCTGTTTTTTAAAAAAAGCAGGTGGCATGTGTTGCTCAGTGAGTAAGGCACTGGCCCCATATACTGAGGGTGGCAGGTTTGAACCTGGCCCCAGCCAGCTAAAACAGCAGTGGCAACTGCAACAAAAATAGCCGGCATTGTGGCGGGCACCTGTAGTCCCAGCTACTTGGGAGGCTGAGGCAAAAGAATCACTTAAGCCCAAGAGCTGGAGGTTGCTGTGAGCTGTGATGTCACAGACTCTACTGAGGGCCACAGAGTGAGACTCTGTCTCCAAAAAAAAAGAATTGCCTTTTTCTGGAACAAGGTACATTCTGGAGGAAGGAAGAAGAGAATGCTAGGAGAGTTCAGTTCCATGATGGCACATTAAAAAAAAAACAAACACTATTAATAATACAATTATAGCCAGGCGTCATGGCAGGAGCCTGTATTCCTAGCTACTTGGGAGACTGAGGTAGGAGGATCGCTTGAGCCTAGGAGTTTGAGGTTGCTGTGAGCTGTAATGCCACAACACTCTACCCAGGGTGACAGCTTGAGGCTCTGTCTCAAAAAAAAAAAAAAAAGAAAGAAAGAATTTATTATAGCTGCTAACACTATTGAACACTATCGTGTAATTGACACTCTGCTAAGCATTTTACATGTATGTTTAAAATGTAATCATCAAAATAAGAGGGAAATCCTGTTATTCCCATTTTATTTATTTATTTATTTTTGAGACAAAGTCTTACTCTGTCACCCTGAGTAGAATGCCATGGTGTCATAGCTTGCAGCAACCTCAAACCCTTGGCTCAAGTGATCCTCCTGCCTCAACCTACTGAGTAGCTGGAACTACAGTGACTACAGTGGACCATAACACCCGGCTATTTTATTTTTAATAGACACTGGGTCTCACTCTCGCTCAGGCTGATCTTAAACTCCTGAGCTCAAGCAATGCACCCACCTCGGCCTCCCAGAGTGCTAGGATCACAGGCGTGAGCTGCTGCACCCAGCATGTTATTTCCATCTCTTTTTTTTTTTTTTTTTTTTGAGACAGAGCCGCAAGCTGTCCCCCTGGGTAGAGTGCCATGGCTTCACTGCTCCCAGCAACCTCCAACTCCTGGGCTTAAGCGAGTCTCCTGCCTCTGCCTCCCAAGTAGCTGGGATAACAGGCGCCCGCCACAACGCCCAGCTGTTTTTTGGTTGCAGCCATCATTGTTGTTTGGCGGGCCCAGGCTGGATTTGAACCGGCCACCTTAGGTGTATGTGGCTGGCGCCTTAGCCGCCTGAGCCACAGGCGCCGAGCCATTATTTCCATCTCAAAGATGTGGAGACAGAAATGCAAAGAAGTTAGATGACTAGAGTTCGTGGTTTTGAACGAGAATTGGGATTTGACCCACATCATCCGATGCCCTTGCTTGCCTTCTTCCTCAAGGTGCTATACTGCGTTTCTTTGCTGGATGAAACCTACCTCATCACTGTAGGCCCCTTCACTTCTGGGCCTCAGAATCTTAACAAATGTGATGAAACTGGCCTGTGCATCCCAAACACACTCCTGTACGTTGAAGTCATATGCTGTGTACAGTTAATAGAAATGTTAGTTTAATCGCCAGACGTGCAGGTGAGAGTTGGCACTGACTGCGGACATATGTCTTTCTCTTGTCACCACCAGAGTGTCTCTATGTGTTCCCCTGCCAGTGGAACTACCGTCCTGATCACTGCATGTACGGGAGCAACTGCAAAGAGGCCGAGCGTGAAGGTGTGTCTGTTCTGCATGGGAACAGAGGTGTCTATCATGATGATAAGCAGCCGACTTTCAAAGCACTCTATGAAGCAGTGCGGGACGTAAGTGTTATTTTGCCACTGTTCAGCAGACACGGCTTATCAACATGAAGCAGCACTTTGGTCATCAGTCCCTCTGAAGTTTATATATCCCCAAAGCATTGAATTACACCAGTTTTGTCCAACTTCAGTCCCTATATCCACTAGCCACCCAATACTATGTTGTATCCATTCTTGATTTATTTCTACTTATCCTTCTTTTTTTTTTTTGCAGTTTTTTTTGGCTGGGGCCAGGTTTGAACCTGCCACCTCCAGTATATGGGGCCGGCGCCCTACTCCTTTGAGCTGCCCTACCACTCAATATTTTTGACTTAAATAAATTTAGGAGGAAATTTCTTGTCAAGAAGAGAATTCCTATACCACTCACCGTAGTAAATGATCATACATTAGTGTAAAGATAATAAAAATAAAATGATGCTTTCAGTTTAAGGTAAATAGATTGTGTGGTTATCAATTCCAAAAGTTGCAAAATCAGGCATTAAGGTGGTCAGTTAGGACAAGGAACTAAACTGGAAAGAGCAATCAAGACTTTATTTACTCAACTGCAACAGAGCAAGCAAGAGGCAGAAAGAAGTCCCGCCTCCCAGGGTTCCCTACTTTCCCCACAACAGGGTACTGAGTGAGGTGATGTGGATGTAGCACAGATGGTAGGAAATGTTCCTGCATCTTGATGGCCCCATAGGCTAGAGATATGGAGTAGAGGAAAGAAGGGAACAGGAGTGGAACTGAGTCAAAGTGGAAAACAGTGCTTCAACCAGGATCCCCCAAATGAAGATGCATGAGCTGAAATGAAAATGCAGATGTGTCTGTGGATGTGACCGGCCTGAGTCCTCACCTGCAATTCTCCAAGAAAACTACAGGGCTTTGGGCTCAGTAGTGCATACTTGTAATCCCAGTGCTGTGGGAGGCTGAGGTAGGATGACTGCTGGAGCCCAGTAATTTGAGACCACCCTGGATAAAATATCAAGACCCCCATTTCTCAAAAATTTTAAAAATTAGTGGTAGCACATGCCTGTAATCTTGCTAAGGCAAGAGAATATCTTGACCCCAGGTATTGGAGACCAGCCAGGGCAATATAGCAAGACCCCCATCTCAAAAAAGAAACTGATGAGCAAGTTTTGAGGAGAAGTTGAAGACTTTCATGTGAACTCTCTTCTTGTAGTAAATGGGAAGACTGAAAAGAATTTACATTGTGATTCGCCCCTAAAATCACATCATGCTGGTACTTTGCCTTCCATGTTTTGGAAAATGCTGTATTTTATGTTATCTCTTATCTTGAGATTGCTAAGGGAAAACCAGTAACAGGTATTTTAAGAGATTATCCTTTTGAAACCATAATTCTAAGACCTGAGGCAGGAGTTAGCAAGCTTAGGCCAAATCTTCTCTGCTGCCTATTTTTGTAAGATACGTGGGCTGACTGGGTACAGTCTGAATCCTAGCACTTTGAGGCAGACGGATCACTGGAGGTCAGGAGTTCAAGAACAGCCTGAGCAACATATCAAGACTCCATCTCTACTAATTAGCTGGGCATGGTGGCACATGACTGTAGTCCCAGCTACTCAGGAGGCTGAGATGGGAAGAGAACTTGAGTCCCTGAGTTTGAGATTGCTGTGAGTTATGATGATGCTACTGTACTCCAGCCTGGATGACACAGTGAATGAAATCTTGTCTCAAAAACAAACAAACAAACAACAACAACAACAAATATATATATATGGGCCAAGAATGCTTTTTACTTTTTTTTTTGAGACCGAGTCTTACTTTGTTGCCCACAAAAAAGTACCATGGAGTCATAACTCACAGCAACCTCTTGGGCTCAAATGATTCTCTTGGCTCAGCCTCCTGAGCAGCCGAGATTACAGACACCTGCCACAATGCTTGACTTTTTTTTGAGACGGGGGTCTTGCATTTGCTCAGGCTGGTCTTGAACCTGTGAGCTCAGGCAATCCACCTGCCTCAGCCTCCCACAGTGCTAGGATTACAGGCGTGAGCCACCTCACCTGGCCTGGGTTTTTACATTTTTGAATATGAGGAAAAATATTAAAAGAATAATATTCATGACATGAGAAAAGTATATGAAATTAAAATTTCACCATTTTTAAATAAGGTCTTATTGGGACACAGTGCCACCCATTCATTTATGACTGTGTATGGCTGCTTTGGTGCTGCAACAGGTGTGACAAAGACTAGCCCAGGAAGTCTAAATTAGTTTTTGCTAGCTAATCTTTTTTTTTTTTTTTTTTGAGACAGAATCTCATTATGTTGCCCTCAGTAGAGTACTGTGGTGTCGCAGCTCACAGCAACCTCCAACTCTTAGGCTTAAGCAATTCTCTTGCCTCA